TTTTTAACTTGAAAGCTAAACTTTCCAATAAATTGTCTGTAGTCTGACTACTTTAGCAGTGCCTATTTTGTGAAGCTGGCATCTTGATGTCTAGTTTGAACTCCGGACCATAGACATTTAACTTTGCTTAAATCTGAAAACACCATTAATGGGAAATACAATACTGCCTCCAAATGTCTTGTGTGGTGGAAACATCAGTAATAGCTTCTTCACGTTTACTAATATTAAAGTTCTTTCTATCCAAAATATTTGTAGGTAGACCAAAATATTGACTTCTCATTGTCTTGCATTAAAAAATTACTATGTTGTGCACCTTCTCCTAACCTCTGTCTGCCTTAGACTCTCTGCCAGAGGAGCTTGTTGTCTGTTTTTTCAATGTTTGGATAGTGCCTAGCACTTGAGTGCTACAACAAATAAACAAACTTACTTCAGGTTGATCTTCCTAGTGTGGTTCCCTTGGGACCTGACTAGTCCTGGACAAGTCAGATTTCCAGACCACAGAACGTGTGTGAGTGAGTTTACCAGCTTCTCTCTGGGCTCCTCTCCCCAGTTACCTAGCTCCATTGCCCTCAGCCCCCTGACTGCAGCATCACTGTGGGCTCCAGTAGTTCCAGTGGCCCTATGAGCTCTGGCAGTCCTACTGGTTCTGGCAGTGGCCCTGGTGGGTCCAGTCGCAGCCCTGCAGGTACTTGCAGCCCACCAGTCCCAGTGGTGTGCATGACCCTGCCAGCTGTGGGCTCTGCAGCTCCCCCTTCCTGCCCTGCTGGTTGCACCCTCCTCCACAGGGTTTGGTGCCCCCTGCCAGCTTCCCAGTCTGAGAGTGTTAAGTTTGCTCTGCAGTTTCATGCAGAAGTCTGTGTCTGAAGGTTTTTTTGCTGAAGTATGGCAACTTCCAAGTCTGTAACTGAGAGTCCAGGGAGAATAAAGTGCTCTCCTACTGATTTTGGATGTTGCCGTTCTTGGTATCTGACTTGTGTTCATTTAGTCTTTTGTGTAGACAGTCTGATCTGGCCAATGTACATGGCAGAAGGGCATTGCTGGAACATGTGACATGCCATCATTAGCAGATGTTGTTGTGGAGTGGCAGATATGAGGTCCTGTGACGGTGTCACTTGAGTGGATATGCAGACGGAGTTGGTAACGGGGTTTGTTGCAGAGGTTGGTACCTGAGTTAGTGTTTCTTTTGTGAGGTATACATAGTTGCTGGTGAAAACTTGCTTCAGCTTGGGGGACTGTCTGTAAGTGAGGACTGGTGAGCCTGCCAAGGCCTGTGAGAAGGAGGGGTTGTCTTCCAGGATAATGTGTAGATCCTTGATCTACTAGAGAGGCTTTAGCTGGGGACCATAGGTCATGACCAGTGGTGTTCTGTTACTTTTTGTCTAGTCTGTTCTGTAGTATGTGACTTTTTGGTACCTGTCTGGCTCTGTCAGTCTTTTTCTTCCCTTTCCCAGGTGGGTACTGTAGTTTTTAAGAATGCTTCAGTAAGATCCTGTAGATGTTTGTCTCTGTCTGAGGGATTGGAGCAAATGTGGTTGTATCTGTGGGCTTGGCCATAGGCAATGGATTGCAAATCCAAATGCGTTGTGTTAAGAGCACTGGCCTGGCATGTGGAAGACCCAAGTTGGAATTCCTGTTCTGATTCAGAACTGTCTGAGATGAAAAATTCTGTGTTGGATCACAAAGAGTAGGGACTTAAACCTGGATTTCCTACATCCCAGGTTAGTGCCTACACCACCTGGCTAAAGAGCATGTGGATTGTTTTATCTCCTCCCACCCAAATCTTCTATGAACTGTTTCAGCAAAATGAAAGGGCTGCTCTGCCTCTTCATTTCTAGTGTAGGATGCCAGGGTAGGTCTCCTTCTTTGCACCCAGTTGCTCTCTAGCTGCCAGAAATGCTCTTTGGGACTATTAGTTATTGAGATAAATTAAGTTAGAATAGCTTCCAGCAGGCTCTAGGATAAAATTTAATAACCCCTTTCCCCACCTCTGCTTAGGTCCCAACTGGCTATAGCTCACCTCAACCAAAGAATTTGCATCCAACCCAGAGGCAGAAGTGTGTTTGCTTAAAGTGTTGAACAACGTGTGACTAAATTTTTTAAAAAGTGTGTTCGGGGAAAAGACAAAATTTATCATAATAAATAGGTTACTCAGCCACAGCAGGGACTGGGAGTAAGACAGATAATTAGCACACATGCAAATTAGATGATCTCAGAGGAGTAGCTGTGTTAGTCTGTAACTTTAAAAACAAGGTGTAGTCCTGTGGCACCTTAGGCTACGTCTAGACTGCAAGCCGCTTTTGAAAGAGGCTTTTTCGAAAGATACTTTTGAAAGCCTCTTTCGAAAGAGCGTCTAGACTACAATCAGTACTTTCAAAAAAAACAAGCCACTTTTTCGAAAGAGCACCCAGGCAGTCTGGATGCTTTCTTTTGAAAAAGCACAGTTTGCATTACATAGTGCCTTTTTTTGAAAGAGCACTCTTGGAAAAAAAGGCATTCTTCCTCATAAAATGAGGCTTTCCGTGGCTGAAAAAACTGCCACATTCTTTCGATTTACTTTTGAAAGAACGCAGCAGCACTCTAGACGCAGGGGAAGTTTCTTTTTAAGAGAAAAGGCCACTTTTTTTCGAAAACCCTGTAGTCTAGACAACCTAAGGGTATGTCTAGACTACATGCCTCTGTCATCAGAGGCATATAGATTAGGCTACCCAGCATAGGGAAATGAAACCAGGTTTACCTGCGCTGGTCGACAAAGGCTTCCTTGTCAACCGCAGCACGTCTAGACTGCCCCGATCTGCTGGCTGAGGGGGGCAGCCATTTTAATTTAAAGGAAGCCGCGGTTATTTAAATCGCGGCTTCATTTCCCTATGCCGGGTAGCCTACTCTACATGCCTCTGTCATCAGAGGCATGTAGTCTAGACATACCCTTACAAACTAACAAAAAAATATAGATAGTATCTATTAGCTTTCGTGGGCAAAACCCACTTCTTAAGATGAGCTTCAGTCTCTAAGGTGCCACAGGACTACTCATTGTTTACAAATTATATAGATATGTGCAAATGCAAACATGTGGACAAACCCACTTTCCTCATGACTACCTCCCATCACATCCCTTTTGGATATTAGTGGCAGAAGACTGTGGAGAATTTCCATGATCTTTTTGGGAAAGGATAAATTGACATTCACCTTTTCGTGTGCATGCACGTGTGCATGTGTGTGCACGCGCGCATGCATATCAGTCAGACTTTCCCCAATCATACTGATTTTTTTTTTTTCCTGGACTGAACTCTAGTAAAAACACTTTCAGTCTCCAGAGCAACAGTCTCAAACTCCTGGCCAATAGGTCATCTGCAGCCAGAGTAGTTGTGCAATCAGCCTGGAAGCCCTGGCAGGAGGTGGCAGTGGAGGAGAGGAGCTATCTGTTTGTTCTCCAAGTCCCTCTTCTTCCAGCATTGTCCCTCCCACAACACTCAATCTCCAAAGCTATATCCTTGGGGATTACCGGGAAGGGGGGGGCTGCTGTAGAGTGGCAGCAGGCATCGGACCCTCCCCCCACTCCCTATGGCAGTAGGAGCTGTGGGTAAGCAGAGTGCACTTGGCAGGTACATTTGCTCTGTGGCATTCAGCTTTGCTGTTGCTTCTGCTGCTGCGGGGAGAAGAGGGGGCTGACTGCTCCTGCTGAGCTGCAACAGGCCCACTCGGTAATCCCTGCAGCCATGTCCTCAGGGAAAGGATTCCGGGTGGAGGACAGGGTGATGGTGGGAAGGGGTAGGGCTTGGGGAACAGACAGCCAGCCACCCTCCCTCCAGCCTGCTGGAACTCTTGAGCTGGATTGAGTAACTGTTCCAGCCCGGGATGGCCCAGAGGCTGGGAGTTTGGGACCCCTTCACCCCACTCTAGAGTAAGACATCCTACTTCAAAGTATCATCAAAGCTGGTAAGAGCTGCTGAGTGGGGGGAAAAAAAAATCCCTTGCTTCTTCTGACACAAGCATGTTATGAAAGGATTTGAGAAGCTGTTATAATGGAAAAGTTAACATAAACCAGCAGAGGTTGAAGAGTCATTAGGAAATTCAGCTTCTGTGCATACAGTTCTCAGAAAAACAAAATTCCAAGTGCTCAACTTGCAGTCTTAAGGAGAAAGAATGCCCCCCCACCGCTTGAGCCACTTCTGTTTGGTGGCTGTTAGTAGCCGACTGTTTTTTTGCGCAAGGCCCAGGCCAACTGATGACAAGGGCAAAGGGGGTAACTTTCCCAGGGCCTGGCAGTTGAGAGAGGCCCAGGGCTCCTGGCTGTTACTGCAGCAGTGGCAGCAGACAGAGACCTGGACCATTTAAATTGCTGCTGGAGTCCCATATGACAAGCTCTGGGCGGTGCTGGGGGCTGCTTGGGAGAGGGTAGCACCAGCCCCTACACCTTTCACCCAAGCCCTGACCCTTCCAGCGAGCAGCACCCGCTCCCCCACTTTGAGCCTGTCTGTCAGCCCCACTGGCTAAGCCCAGCTGCTAGAGAGACAACAACACATGTATTTGTTAGAGTAAAACAGAGAAAGAGAAGAGGAACAGAAAATGTTGGTCAAAATTGGTTGGAAATGGATTATTTGTAAAGATATTTATAACCAATATGAAAACAAATCTAATCTGAATAAAGTATTAATGATCAGTGTAACTCTTAGCTCCTGCCAATGCTTGTTTTGAATTAACTATCCAGTTTAATTTTGGATGCATGTATGAGACTAGGTGTCTGGTTTACGACCAAAAAGGGACCCTGGCCGTGAAAAGTCTGGTCAGCAGTGCTGTGGAGCTGAGCCAGGCTGTTCTCTACCTGTCCTGGGCACCAGGCTATGTGCCAGAAGTGGCCAGCAGGTCCAGTTCCTAGCTGCCCCAATCACTGGCTGCACACTTCCTTTGGCCGGTTCCCAGGCAATGGGAGTTGGGGGCAGTGGTCCCTGCAGGGAAGAGCAGCGTGCACAACATGTCACAACTTCTTGCCTCCTCCCATTTAGGAGCTGGATCTGAAGGCTGTTTCCAGGACGCAGCACAGTGCCCCAGGAAAGGCAGGAAGCCTCTTAGCACTGCCAATCAGGTAAGCCCCTCAAACTCAGAGCCCTCCTCCTGTACCCAAGCCCCTCATCCCTAGCCCCACCCCCAAAGTCTGCAACCCTAGTCCAGAGCCTGTACCCTCTTCTACACCCAACTCTGGGCCTGCCCCCTTTCTGCACCCCAACCCCTAGGCCTAAGCCTTTCCTCAAACCTGGAGCACCCCTCTTTCATCCCAATCTCAGGGCCACACCCCTAGAGACCTGACACTCTCCTACATCCTAACCTCCTGCCTCAACTCACTTCCTTTTCCTGCTGTCTGAATCCTTTGGCCTCATTGCCCAGCCTGGATCCCCTTTTGTATCCCAAACGCCTCATATCCAGCCCCACTCCAAAGCCCACACCCCCAGTTGGAGCCCTGGCCACCCCCCACACTCAACTATCTATCCTAGTCTGGAGCCTCCTCTTGCACCTGGAGCCCAACCCCCACCATTTAGAACCCTCACCCCATCCCATACCCCAAATGCCAGCCAGCCCAGTGACAGTGAGGGTGGGAGAATGTAGTGAGGGAGGGGGCAAGGCTTTGGGGAAAGGGATGGTCCTCAGGGCAGGGCTAGGGAGTCTGATTTGTGCCAATGGAGTGCTGTCAGCCTTAGATTCATGCTGTCTTCTGGGGGTGAACTATTTCCTGCTTTTTTTTATTTAAGGGATGGAGTCTCAAGACTTTTAATGAAGATTTGACCAGTGAAGAAGGGTTATTCAAGGCCTAATACGTCACTTAAGCACCACATAAGCTACTGGGGTAACTGCTTTCCTTTGTTCCATGGATATAGAGATCCCTCTGGCTGTGCAAAAGTTGTGATTGTGTTACTGAAGTGAGAGAGGTAGGGTTGATGAGATCAGAGTGTATAGCCGTGACAGACACAGAACCCTGCTCTGTGGCAGATTTCTGACTGATGCTCTGCAAATAGAGGCAGGAGTGGGGTGGAAGTTCCAGCACTGTAAAGACCCTCCCACTGTGTAGAAGGAGACAAGCAGGGGTAATTGGTTGTGGAGGAAGGAGATGTGGGGAGAACAACCCAGAAAGGCAGGGAAAAGCTATGAGGGGGCACCCCATGCAGCAATTAAAATTTTGCTGAGGGCACAGAGGCGATGCACCTCCCAAATGATATTGAGTCACCTATGGAGACAAGATTAGCCAATAGGTGAGAACAGTCTGTGTGACTCTGACCCTGTTCTATGGCATGGGAAGGACTCTTCCCCCCATTTTTTTTCCTTGAAGGGATTTCCCATGACTCTGAAGAGTGGTGTTCTCCCCCCCAACGCCCCAGCTAGAAATCATTTGAGAGGTTTTGTGCTCTGACTTGAGTGTTAAATATTGCATATGGGTTTTTTTGGGGGGGGAGGAGGAGTAGGGGTTGTTGGGTGCATAGGTATGTTTCACACACGGGGCAACTTTTTAGGCTTTCAGTGGGAGGGTGGATACTAATTGAAGTTCTCTGCTGCCTTTTATAAGAAAGGAGGAAAGTCTTGAAATTTCTGAATTAATTTTCAATTCATACATTTTTTTTTTTGGCAACGCTTTAACAGGAGGCACATAGAAATTTCAATCCATTAATTTGTCTAAGTCTCAATCAGATAAGTTAGTAGTTCTGGCCAGAAAACAAGCATTTTGTGTTGTGAAAAATGCTGAGGTTTTGGAATTTATTTTTATTTTGACGCAGAATGAAACTGAGACCATATGAGGTTTTTTTTGGTAACCAAGCAGATGGTGAGGGATTGCCTTGCCCCACAGTAGGTGGTTTGGCTACTTACCTTGGATGTGGGAGATACAGAGCAATACAATGCCAGCCAGCACTTGAAAGACTCAGGAAGAGCAAAGATTTCAACCTGTATGAATAACTAAATGTTCAGGGGACTAGAAAGAGAGGCTCTCTAACAGTTAGGGAACTTTCCCAGGCTGTCTTTCCTTCCCCACCCCTGCCCAGTTCAAGTCCTGAACCAAATCAGGCAGAGCAGTGACTTCACCTTGTATCTCCCACATCCTATGGGAAGGCTTAAATAGCAGGTTACTGGCTGTTCTAGGGGTTGTCTTTCACACCACTTCCATCCTGGACCCGAGGAACCTTCCCCATGAAAGTGTTCTGAAAAATTTTGGTTTAGATGAATGGCATTTGGCTGTGAATACATTTAACTGAAAAATTCCTGACCAGCTTTAGTAATTTTGTATGTCATTAATTAACAATGATTAACAAGGGTGATGCACTTTTCAGCACAGGGAAGCATATCCACAGGAAGAAGATAGACCATTGGTTGCCAATATAAAATGTCTTGTTCTGTAATATAGGTAGGACCCTCTGGTCTGGGTCGGGTATTGCTGGACCAGAGCCCCAATGGCTGGGAGCAGAGACTGAATAGGAGTCCAGCAACGAAGTGGCCATAGATCACTTTTAGTAATACAGAGAAAGGCAGGGTGGAAAATGACCCTAAACTTCCATCTTCTCTTTGGAATAAGGCCTATATTCATTCTCACCTTGGATTGTCACATAGATGTGACCCAGAACAATTAGCTCTATTAACAAAGTTGAAATGTTATACACATTGGGACAAATACATCCTTGATGTAATGCCAGGGATGATTTTTGGTGCAGTATAGCCAGTTTTGGTTTAATCCCATGAAATTCAGATAAAGTTTGCCAAGTCATCTATAGATTTCTGGGCATAATTAAAAAAGCTGTGGCTATATGCTGCCACTTATAAAATACACTATAAGCCCTCTGGGTATACAAGACCGAAATAGATCATGACTTCAGAAAACCAGTTTGCTCAGAAGTCAGTTTTGGGCTGGACTGGATTCCAATATGCTCTGGGGAACCCGAAGACATGCAGTGTGACCGTTTTTGCAGAAAAACATAAATACCTTTTTTTTTTTCAAAACAAAACCCCAAGGAGTGGTAAATCTGATGTCAGTTTCTATAAAATGTAGAAACAGAATCTGTAACCCCAGCCCTACGTCAAAACAATCTCTTAATAAAACACACAGTACATGATTTTTTTATTACCGTTTGAAGTATTCGTTTAAGCTTTTTCCTCAGTTAACTCAAAACAGCACTTGATTTTCCATAGGTATATATTTTCTTCAGATCCTAAAAACTATTTTGTAAACATAGTTTGAAAGACTCAGCATGTGTGGCATTCCAGGTGAACCAGAGCCCATGTGTACATGTCTGAACTCAGCATCTGGATCCCTCTTTTTCAGTTGGCCTTTATTCCTTTAATGGCCTCTTCTCTGAATACCCGTCTCTGGTCTTGTGTGTGTGTGGGGGGAGGAGGGCATGAAATGACACACTGGCTCTAGCTCTGGATTTTGGCCCTGACACAGCTCTGGGTGGAATGTTAGAACACTTAAACAGCTTCTGTATCTCAGCTCTCTGGTGTCTAGTACTAGTTCAGTTTTTAATGCAGATGCCTCTTGAAAAAAATGGTACAGAAAGAGGATACATTTAGTAATAAGATTAGGGTGATCTTGAGCTGCTGAGCTATTAGTGGTCACCTTTAGAGCCCACCGTGGGCACACTTATTAGCAATTTCAGTCTTGATTTTAACAGTAGGGGTTGCTGCAGGCAAGAGAACAATGCAGTTTTGATACCAGGACGTGCATAGGAAACTATGCAGTCACAAGAATGCCGTTCCACTCAAGGAAAGGTTAGAGAAACCGTCCAGCTTCACTGTTTAGTTGAGAAATATTTGACTAATGAATAATTAGTTTTTTCATGGCATTAACTCTAAGAATGCACAATTTTGCTTTGTCAATTCTTATCAATTGAATATGTTCATTGTAGAGAACTTTATTATTCTTTTTGTATTGTTAAAAGTTAACAACAAATGTGGCCCTCTCTCCTCCCACCAAAGATATGCAAGATATTTTAAAAGCTTCTTATTTGCCCTGGAGCCATACTCCATGCAACACATGTAACTACTTTGTTGGGAATAGGCTATGATTTTAAATGATAATAAAGGAAAATGATAGGGTGCCAATCACTATCACATCGAGGCAGCAGATACTGATGTGAAAACCCCCAAGTGGCTCCCCTAATGTGACCAGTATGATATCCTGAATTACCATGCTGGTATTCAAATATAGTACTACAATTTATTTTTTATTTGTATAGCAGAATTGTTCGGAGCAATAGTCGGGGGCTAGAGCCCCATTGTGACAGCCACTACATGCATTAGCAAAAAAAAGACGGTGTAACTGATTCAAAAGGGCTGCCTAGCTCAGACCCAAAGATGTTAGTGAAGCAGCCAATTAACTCTGACCTGCCAGAGGGAGCAAGGGAAATATAAAAGATTGCTTGGGGGCAGACATAGCGGGGTGTGAGTTGCAGTTTACCGGCAGGTCTATGTGCCTGGTAAGTCCATGCCTGTGTTCTGTTTGGGCTTTTTTTTTAAATAAATTCCTGTAAAGGTTTCCCTGGCCAGGGGGAACACAACTGACTGACTGGCTGTTTGACTGTTTTATTCGTGGGCTTGGAAATCAGTACAAGAGCTTACAGATGGTCTTCCCTCCCCCCACAAAGAGCTTAATGAATGCCTTGTTTGCTTGCAGAGAGGTAGACACTGTATCATGCATTTTTCCCTTATAGAGCAGCATAGTGAAGCAGTGTGATATGATTGTGAGACGAGGGACTGGATGGCTCAGTGAACTGACAATGGGGAAAAAACCTTTCAACCTTCTCCTCGGAATCTAGACCAGCAGCAACTGACGAACTTGGTGGTCCAGTGTGTAGTAGAGAAGTTGTTCATCTCACAGTTAGCATTAGTTGGCAACCTCCTGCTGAGGAGACACACACAACTGAATGGAGTATGGAGACTGAACTCATCTCTGGAGATGGCTCATATGAAATAGAGCAGCGTGGGGAATCTTGCCCTGCTTTCACTCTGCACCTATGATTTCCCTGCACTGTGTGATCAGGATTTGTAAATGCTGCAGGCTTCTAGCTTTCCCCTGCCTGGACATAAAAGGGGAAAGGAGGGCCCCTGGGCTCTCACCCTGCCCTATGGCAAGGACGACAGGGTTTGGCTGGGAGTTGCCTTTATTTTTACGTATCATGCTAACAGAGAAACGCTCCTGCTCTTGCAGTGTACAAACAATTCACTGCAAAATTCAGCTGGTATGGGGGGGAAAAAAATTTGAAGATCCAGTGCTCCTCAGAAGGCAACAAAAATAAATGCCACAGGCTGAGCCATGACCCAGATCAAATTGCCAGAGCCATTGGACTTTGCCAAACTGAAACAATGATTTATTTCAGTGGCAACCAAAGCAGATGATTGCTGCAAAGGAGCAGCCCTAACTGAGGACAATGCAGTTAAAATTATTTGGAAAAATATTTTGCGGTGTGAGATGTTAATTATGGTGGCAATAAAAATATTGACTCAGGGTTGTTGTGTACTGTTCTGTATGTAATGATAAAGAAGATGAGATATGACAAGAAAATCTACTGGTGTGTGGAAACACTATCTTAATTTTACCTTTCCTTGCCTCTTTAAATTGGCAGCAGAGAGATTTGGGAATATGGCATGACCTTTTGCTGCCTCCTTCCTCTCTTCCTGGTATTAAAATATGGATTTTCCCTGAAAATAACTTTGGCACTAACATTGCTAGAAGATGTTGCCAAAAATATCCACTAAGGTCTTGGCGTAAAAGTACAGATGTTGGGGGGGGGGGGGGGGGGGGGGGGGAGGGGGG